GTACGTAACCCTGACACTGGTTGGCTTAAAAAAAATCAGCTTTTTGTATTTTTAGCTTAATTTTTTGTTTGAATTGAGGGACTTCTATAAGGAAGTATTAACCCAACAGCGGACGGACTGTAAAGGTGAGAAGACTGTGGAGGACGCCCCAGGGTGGCAGAATAAGCCAGAAGAGTGCACTTAGAAATGGGGATCCCTCTCCAAGGCTGGGGTTCCGGGCTCTTTGGAGAGGGTGTGGTCAACTCCCTGGGGGCGAGGGGGTAGAAGGTCACTGAGTTTGTCAGCCTCTGGCGGTGGGGAGCAGGAAAAAGACACATTTGAGCCCTGGGATCAGAAGCTTCGTACCCTGGATACTTGGCAGGAGTTTTGAGAATCATCACAGCACTCAGTGAACAGGGAGGAACCTTCCACCGGGCCCTTGCGTGTCCCCCCTCCTGGCCTAGGTGCCACAGTTTCCATACCCCTCACCTCTACACACGTTACAAACCCCACAACACGTGGTCATCGTTGTTTAAACAACTGTCTTTCAAAGACAGTTAAACAGTAAGAGCAGACCCTGGGTTTGTACCCAGCAGCTCTGTTTCCTTTGCCTCCTGTTCCCTTTGGTGGACCCGTGTTACCATCTGGTATCGCTTTCCTCTGGCCTGAAGATACCCCTTCGCATGTCTTACAGCGTAGGTCAGCTGGTGAGCCAGTCTTTCAGTTTTTGTGTGTTTGGAAAACTCTCCAGCCCTTCAGTTTTGAAAGCTGTGTTCCCAGGGTGTGGAATTTTAAGACGTGGCTCTGCCGTCTCTGTGCTTCTCCGACGAGGCGGCTGCCGTCGTACTACCCGTGTCCCTTCGCACCCGCTGGCTGTTTTCTGTGGTGGCTTTTATGATTGTTCTGGAGGTCCCGGTTATGAGCAATTTGATTATGACTGACTTTGCTGTAATTTAATGTTTCTGTGCTGAGACTTTATTGATCTTGAATCTGTAAGTTTACAGTTTTCATTATGTTTGGACAAATTTCTATCCAATTTTTTTTCTGCCACCTCCATTGTTTGGAGCCCCAGTTACACACATAGTATACTGAAATACTGAAGAATTTTGGTTTTATTTTGGTGCTACTGTAAATGGTACTACTTCTTAAAACCCTTTGTTCTGGTTGCTCACGGCTGGTCTCCAGAAACACACTTGACTTTTGTATATTGTCCTTTTACCCTTCGACCTTGCTGAACTCAATTACTGTAAGAGATTTGTCTTAGTAAACTTCCAGGGATTTTTCTGTAGGTACAATCACGTTGTCTGTAAGCAGGGTTCTGTCTCCCCTCCCCAACGTTACGGCGCTGCTTTTCCTCATCTCGCTGCCCTGTCGAGGACGCGCGCACGGTGCTAAGTGGGAAGCAGGATGAAGGGTCTGTGGGCTCCGGGAGGAGCTTGGTTTTCGTGGTCAGGTGTGACGCTCAAGTAGGCATTGCTGTAGCAGCCCTGCAAGGGGGTAATTAAGCTCCCTTCAAATCCTTTTCTTTGTCAAATACTTTTTTGCATGTAGGAGATGATCATATGTATTTTTTCATTAGTTTATTAAAGTAGAGAATTGCAATGACCAATTGTTGGATGTTGAAGTGGCCTTGAATTCTTGGATAACCTTCGCTCGCCGTACTGTTTGGCCCTATTTGTATTGCTGGTTACATTTGCTAAGATCTGATTGAGTTCATGGTAGATATCAGTCTGTAGTTTTCTTGAAATTTACCATTTTAAGTAATTTTTACTATTTCAAAAATTTACAAAAATTATTACTATTTCAAAAATTTACTGATTCAAATTTTTGGATCAGGGTGATGCTGAACTTATAAACGAATTATCAATTTTCGACTTTATTTTCAATTTTCTACCAGAGGTTGCAGAAAATTGGTATTATTATTTTTTTTTTCTAAAAGTGGTAGAATTTACCAGTGAAACCTTCTGGACCTGAGTGTTTTTTGTTTTGTTTTGTTTTTTTATTGTTGAAATAGAAATAGGATCAAACAGTTGTGGTTTTTTTCTTGAGTAAATTGGGTAGTTTGTGTCTTTCGAGGAATTGGTCCATTTCACCTAAATTATTGGATTTGTGGGGTTAGTATTTGTCTCTGTGTTTGGGCTACCACAACAAAAGCTCATACTGGGGGCTTAAACAACACACATTTATTCCTCATAGTTCCGGAGGCTGCAAGTCCAAGACCCAGGTACTTGCTGGTTGGTTTTGCAAGCTTCTTAGGTGCTTTCCCAGGTGTGATCTGAAATTGGGCTCTGTTTGTGGAGGGCAGGAGAGACCAAGAACGAGGCAGCCACTCCAGGTTGGAAGGTGACAGTTTTAGTACACCAAGAGAAATTACATGCAAGGCTTGCTTGTCTTAGGTGGCAGAAAGATGAGTTGGGTCCAGTATCCACTGGCCATCTCTTAAAAGTCATCTCTATAAAGAGGCCTCGACTAGGCTCAGTCACACGTATCATGTACATCTCAAGACTGTGTCCTTGGAGCAGCTACTGGGAGCAGGAAAGGCGAGTGGAGCCCACATCCAAGGAGAGGGGAGGGGGGATGAAGAGCTTCGTAGTACCCAGGTCTGGCTCACAGGTCAAGTGGCGGTCACATCTTCCCAACACTGCTGATTTGGTTTCCAGCAAGAGCTCTCTTCTTGGTTTGCAGTGACTCCGTATGCATAGTGAAGAGACAGCCCTGGTGTCCCTTCCTCTTCTTATAAAGGCAACAGTTCTAATAGATCAGGGCTCTGCTTTTATGACCTCATTCAACCTTAGTCACTTCCTTCAAGGCCCTGCCTCCACTGGAGGATTAGGCTTCAACATATGGATTTGGGGGTGGGGGAAACAGGTAAGTTCATAGTTGTATACTCTTATTTTCATTCTAATGTCTGTGAGATCTGTAGTGATGACCCCTCTTTCATTCCTGATACTGGTCATTTTGTGTCTTCTCTATTTCTTGACCTGGCTGGAGGTTTAGCCATTCCATTAATCTTTTCATAGAACTAACTTTTGGTTCATCGAGATTTCTCTACTTTTCTGTTTTAAGTTTCATCGATTTTTTCTTCTTTATTACTTCCATCCTTCTGCTTTATTTGGATTTATTTTCTCTTTTCCTAGTTACTTAAAGTAGAAGCTTACATTATTTGAGATCTTTCTTTTCTCATATAAATATTTAATAATATCACTTTCATCAAAGTATTGCTCAGCTGTGTCCCACAAAATCTGATATGTTGTATTTTCATTTTCATTCAGTTCAAAGTGCTTTAAATTTCTTTGAGATGTTCTCTTTTACCTGTGGTTGTTTAGGAGTGTATTGCTTTCCAAATATCTGGGCATCTTCCATATATCTTTCTAGTATAATCATATCATTGTCACAAAATATACTTTGTATGATTTCTATTCTTTTGAGTTTGTTGAGGATTGTTCAAAGTCCCAGCATTTGGTCTATCCTGATGAATGTTCCATGTGCAAAGAATGCATGGTCTGCTGCCGCTGGGTGGGTGTTCCGTGATGTCCGTCAGTTCAAGTCTGTGACTGTTTACATATTCTAAAGCCTTCCTGATTTTTGGTTTACTTGTTCTATTGATTACTGAGAAAGGAATGTTGTTGTCCCTGGTTATAGTCCTTTTTCTTAAGCCTACTATGTCTCATATGCTCATAAGGACCCCAGCTTCTTTTTTTTTTTTTAATTTTATTTATTTATTTGACAGAGAGAGAGAGAGAGGCCATAAGCAGGCAGAGAGGCAGGCAGAGAGAGAAGGGGAAGCAGGTCTCCTGCCGAGCAGAGGGCCCGACGCGAGGCTCGATCCCAGAACCCTGAGATTATGACCTGGGCCGTAGGCAGAGGCCCAACCCACTGAGCCACCCAGGTGCCCCCCCAGCTTCTTTTGATTACTGATTACATGGCGCATGTTTTCCTATCCACTTACTTTACCTACTTAGGTCTTTATATTCAAGGTGTGTTTCTTATATTTAAAGCACATTCGTGACCTACTTCGGATATTCTCGTGGCTCTTCGCACTCAGAGTGGACATTCTGTGTTGACGCCCCCTCTTCCTGAGGCCAGGTGAGGGCTCCTAAGCTCCAGTGCAAGTCTGTTGGCCCGGTGACAGGCCGCGCGTGGTCACTGCACACTGGTCCGTAGGATGTTTGGGAGGGCTCATACACCCTCCCTGCGTGGGAAAATCGAGATTTTGGGGCCCTCCCCAAGGTGATGGGTGAGCCTACCAGCCTCAGGGCACAGATTCTGGGCTGGTCCTTGGGGACCTGCTCTTGGATCCCGGTGCCATGTGCAGCCCTGCTGGTGGAAGCCGGAGGGTGTTCAGCTGGGTTCGGGGCAGCTGTGGGCAAAGTCCAGGGCCGTGGAGTTGAGTGGGAGATTTTACACACAAAAGAGGAAGCCTGTTGGCTCCAAAGTATAGGGCCCTGCCGGGGAGGGCTGAGAAGAGGAAGAAGACCCACCACAAACGCCACTGAGCGAGGACGCACGCAGCCCCTTGCCTGAGGAACAGCCCCCTCAGAGCCCTGATGCAGCAGCTGGTCCGTGGCCTGGCAGCCGTGCGTCTGGCTCGTGGGCGCCCGTGGAACGGCATCTGGCTCCTGAGGACAGGCTCAGGCCGTTTCTCTACCGAAAGCTCTTTTGGAACCAACTGTGGGAGCCCAGCGCTGATCCCCGGACAGGCGCAGTGACTCGGGTCCTCAGGTCGGGCTTGGACACCGGGGCGCTGCCGTCATGGCCGGGGCCGTGCGTGCTCCCCGCGCCCTGTGGCATCTTCCCGCTGAGGGAAACAGGGTGTGCAGGGTTCAACGGCGGGCTCTGCGGGTCACCTGGTTCGGTTGCTGATGCGGGCGGGGGACCCCGGCGTGGGGTCTGTGGGGTACCCCGGTGAGCACAGCAGGCCAGGGCTGACGCCGTGGCGTGTGCGGGTCTGGGGATGGTGCGGGCTGGGGCCTCCTGGACGTAACCCGCGTGCACTCGTCTCCTCCCCAGGGCCAGAGACGATGATCCCGCCGGGGGAGTGCCTATACGCCGGCCGCAAGAGACGGAAGCCGGTTCAGAAACAGTAAAGTATCCCATCTTCTGCTTTTGCTGCGGGTCGCGTGGAGGGGCCGGTCTCTGCTCCTTGCGAGGAGCGCCTGACAGGACGCCGAGAGCGAGGGCAGGTCTTGCCGGGCCGTGAGGGGCTGGGGCCACAGCAGCGGAGCCGGGTCTGTGGCCGCAGGCTCCCTGCACACCCGCAAGCCCGTGGCGCCTCTCCGGATGGCTCTGGGCCGCTTTCTCCACTTGGACTGGATGGCGAGGTCAGCGTGGAGGGACGCATCTGGCCAGAAGTGCCCATGAGGGCCCGAGACGTCCGCACGGTTTTCGGCGAACGCCACATGCCTCTCGGCCCAGGGGAAGCCTGTCCTCGAGGACTGGTGAGCTCTGCCACACGTGACGGACACAATGTGAGGCTTTGACCCCTGCCCGGGGGCCTCCAGGAGGCTTGCTGAGTAGGGAGGGGGACCGGTGGCCCTCCCTCCCCAGACAGGGTCCTGCTGCTGGCCCAGGGGCGCGCGGGACACTCGGGCGTGCGGTTTGCCGTGGGAGCGGGATGGGGTTTGGAGCCGCCCCGCTGTGCCCCCGCTGTTCCCCCGCTGTGCCCCGGGGCTGCCCCTGGCTCCTGGCTCCTCCGGCGGGGGTCCCGCAGCAAGTCCTACTGTCGGCCTCTGTGCATGTGTGAGACGCAGCTCCCTCCGGTGAGCGCGCGCAGGTGACTGCTAGGCCCGTGCGTGGGCTGCACCCTCCAGGGGCAACTGAAGCCAGGCCTGCGTCTCTGCGACCCGGGCTGCCCTCCCCGCCCCTGGGGAGAGTGGCTCTGCGAGAGGTCCTGGACGGCGGCCACCACCTGACGACGGCGGGGAGGGCTTGAGAGGCAGGACTCGGAAAGTGGGCATGTCCCTGAGTGGGTCATGCGGCCGCTGTGGGCCTGCCCGGTGGTGCCGCTGAGACTGCGGCGGGAGGTGGAGGGCGGCGGGTATCTGTGCTGGGTCCAGGGAGTGCCGCTCGTGCGTGCAGGACAGGGTCCCTACTGGCGACCACACGGGCCTCAGGACACACCATGCTCTGTGTGCGGGACCCTCTGGGGCGAGCGAGCTAACATTCCTGCTTTCATTGTGTTTGTTCCAAGAACAGGGTCTGAGATAATGAGTTTTTGAGGCATTTATTATGGAGTAATTCATCTGAGTTATTGATGCTCGTCTGGTTCAAAACTCAGAGCCCCAGCAGGCCCCTCCCACCCGTCACTGCCAGCCACCCCAGCGGTGTCTTGGGAGCCTGTCCCGAGAGGCTCCTTCGGAAAGCAGCAGGTCCGGACACACGGTGTCCGCTCAGGGACGGCGTCCGGCCCCCTGTCCTTGGGTCCGCGGCACCCGGTGAGACCGTTTCGCAGACGCCCAGAGCCGCCCGCGTCATTTTGTGGCTGATCCTCCCCCGGGGCAGCGGTCCACCGTGAGCGCCACGCATGCCGGCCTGTTTGTGTGGGGACCACCCTTCCCTGCGCCACCTCTCCAGCTGTGTCTGGATGAGCAACTTGGGGGAAGAGGGGCCTCTCTGTTGCCAGTGGGGGGCTGGGACTCCTGGGCTGCAGACCCCGCATGGCCGCACCTGCCCGGGGCTATCTGGGTCAGTCCCCTGGGACTCAGGGACACAGTGAATGACACGGACACTCAGAGGGGCACACCGCCTGCCGTGGGGTGAGCGATGAGCCCTGGTCTCTGACCTGGGAGACTTGTGCCTCCTGCCAGTGCCCACAGAGCCGCAGCCGGCCCTTCCTTGCCTTGCAAGAGGCTGAACACAGCCCCGCCCAGGCCCCAGACTTTCCCGCACGCAGGGCTGCTCTGTCCAGGGGTGCGGGCACTGGGCACGGTGAGGGCGCCACCAGCTCTGGACATTCCGAGTGTGCTTGGCTCTGCTGGAACACGCCTCCTTCCTGCCCTGTGCCCGCGCTGCATTTCAGACTCGGGTCATTTTAGTTTGCGCTCTTCCCGTAAGTCAGGTTAAAACCCTATCTGGATTTCCTTTCCTGCGAACTGTGTTGGTCCCTTTTGCTCATTTCTCTATTGGATTGTTTGTGTTTTTGTGCTCCTTGAGTCTTAGGGCTGGTTCTATACTAGAGACACTAGCTCTGGAATCTGTTTCAAACACTTTCCTCCAGTTTTGATTTTACTTACCTTGGTCTTTGCTGTGTGGAAAAATTAATTTTTATGAGGTTGATTTGTTCATCATTTCCCTTGTAGCTAATTAATCTTATATCGAAGTTTGGAAGCTTTCCCTGGTCTAAGCTTATGAAGGAACTTCCAGTATATTCTCTAAACTGTTCTGGGTCCCTAATACATATTTTAAACTTTCAAGCACTTGGAATATTCCTGGTTTGTGGTTAGGGTCTGAGTCTGTGTCTTCTTTTCCCACGGCCACTGCTTGTCCCTAACACTGTTGACAATCGCTTTCTTCCTCGCTGGTTGGGGAGGGTCTTGGACCATTCAGCCTGGGGACTGGGTCGGGGGGTGTGTCACCGACGAGAGACCAGGGGTCACTTGGACAGTCGCTGGGTGTTTGCAGATGGACCTGCCCGACACGTGCACTCGGACGGGTTCTACGTACCGGGAGCAGGAAGAGGCATCTGGCATGTCTGTGTGTCCTGACGGCTGCCGTGTCTGTCTGCACAGGGCAGCTGGTGTGCGCTTGGGAGCAGAACCTCTCTCAGGACATGTTTTAGGGAAACTGGAGGCCAGACGAGTTGGTTTTGATGTCTGTGTGCCGGGCACCTGGGACATGAGCCCGCGCCCCGCCAGCTCTGGCTACACTGGCTGCTCTGTGGCCCATGTTTCTGGCCACGCCAGACGGCCGTGGGGCTGCGGTTGGCCCGTCCTCTTCTGGGGATGGTCATGGTGGGTCTGTGCGTGCCTGTCTTCTCTCCTGGAAGGGGTCAGCGATGGAAGAGTGGGATGGACTGAGGAGACGCACAAGTGCCTGGTCCTGGCTGGGAGCCCTTCTCCTGAGAGGCCCGTTCGGGCCGGGGGCTGGGGAGCTGGGTACAGAGACCGTGGGGAGACCCCATGGGGGGTCTCCCTGCTCTCCCCAGGAGCTCCTAGAGGGGTTTGTGGCTCGCAGTTTTCTCCTTGCTGGAACTGGGCGTGCATACATGCACAGTCTGGTGTGACACATGCAAGCCCCACGGACATCACCGACCCCGAGTCGCACCTCCAGTGTCCTGCATTCCGTTCCTGCCTCCGCCTCTGTCCATGAGCCCTGGTGTGCTCTGTCCTGTAGCCCGCTTCATGTTCCTGGAATTTTCTATAAATGGAATCATGCACCATGGTCTCGAGATTCATTGGCAGCTGGCGCGCCCCCAGTGTGCCCCCATTTCCCGCCAAGCAGGGTGGCTGCGTCCAGATGCCCCGCCTCACTCGGTCACCTGCGGGCCGACACTCCAGGCCTCCCAGGTTTGGGCCGTTACCAGTGAAGGTGCCGTGAACGTTTATGGACAAGGCTTTGTGTGCAGTGGGATTTTCGACTTCGACAGCACAGGCCAGTTACTTTTGGGGAACCACTGCGCTGCTGTCCAAGCCTCTGTGCCGTCTGTGTCTCCGTGGGCTGCGGCCCGGCCTCCCGAGGCTCCCGTCTGCCCTTCCCGAGCCCCAAGAGGAGCTGGGTGTCCTTCATGGGCTGATTCATCACCCACATTTCTTCTCTGGTGAAGTGTCTGTTTAAATAACTTGCCTTTCTTCATATTGGATTTTTTGTTTTCTTATTGGATTGTAGAACTTCTTTATGTGTTCTGGATATAAGCTATTAGGGACACTTCCCCTAGTCTGTGGTGTCCCTTCTCATTTTGCTATCTTGTTTTTTTTTTTTTTTTTAAGTAATTTCCATGCGGAAGCTGGGGCTGGAGCTCCCAGCTGTGAGATCAAATCCTGCACACCCGTGGACAAGCACCCAGGAGTCCCCTTTTCATGTTCTCAATGGGGATTTTCAAAAGACATTAAAAATATTGATGAGGATCAACTTACCAATTTTTTCTTTTATGACTTTGAGCATGGCTGTGTCTTCTGAGGGTCCTGGGACTATCCCGAGGTCCCAAATATGCTGTCTTGTGTTTTCCTGTCAAGTTTTAGAGGAGGCTATAGATTTAGGTCTATGGCCCTCTTTGAGTTGATTTTGGGGAGTTGTGTGAGGTGAGGGCTGGTGCTCACCTACATTCACGGGCGTCCGGTTCACCAGCCCCATTTCCTGAAAGGACTTTCTTTCCCTATTGAACTCCATAATATCTTTGTCAAATGAGTCAGCCAAAGATAAGTGGGTTTGTTTCTAGATTCCCTGCTCTGGTCCCTTGCTGTAGACTTCTGTCTTTCCTGTAACATGAAGTCGTCTTGAATGTTGTGGATTTAGAGAAAGCTTAAAATCAAAAGGACAGTCCTCTAATTGTTCTTCTTTAATTGGCTTTCCTGGTCCTTTGTGTTTCCATGAACGTTTTAGGATGAGTCTGTCAGTTTCTGGAAAAAAGCCCTGCTGGCGTTTTAACTGAATGCGTTGAGCCTGTTGAGGTCGGTTTGGGGAGCTTCCCCCCGTTCTTCCAGGTCATCTCTTTTGCTTCCATCGGAGACAGCGGCGGCTGTCTCATGCTGCTAACGGCACTGGTGTCTCGTCCCCCGTCCCGTCCTGCTGAGTCTCTGCCCAGGGACTTGGCGCTTCCTCCTTGGGCCCCTGGGCCTGTGCCTGAGGCCAGCCTGGCAGGGCGCTCCCCCTATATGTGGGCCTGGGGTAGGAGGGTTCCCGTCTGGCCCCCGGGGCCAGGGAGAGGGCTGGTAGAGATGCGTCGGGGACAGCCAGGGCCATGAGACACTCTGAAGGTGCCCTTCCAGCACCCGTCCCTCCAGCAGGCGCCCCATGGGAGTGGGGTCAGGGTGGGGAGCAGTCACCACTCAGCTCATTCTTGGGCAAGGCTGAATGGGAGGTTCCCCCTGCCCCCAGCCCTCCACAGACGTGACATTTCAGCGGGGGCCGTCTGCCCATCTCCCATGGCCTCCCCTCTCTGAGCCCCGCACCTGCCCTGGGTACGGCCCTGTCTCTGGGGAGACCTTGGGTGTCTTTCACTGACGGTGGCGGGGTGGGGGGCTCTCCTTCCACCAGCAGGTGCCGGCCCTGCTGGAGATGCTCTTGGTTCCCAGGTCTCCTGCCGGTTTACGCGGAGGCCGGCTACATGAGGGATTTGGGGCAAGTGCCTCATTAAGGAAGAAAACCAGCAGAAAGTGAAAAGACAATCAAAGACATGGGCAAATACCTGTAAATAGCACACCGGTCGAAGACTTGCATCTGGAACGTAAAGGACCCCATTACCGGACACTAAGAAGACAACCCACAGCGGCACAGGGCTCAGTGGTTGAGCGTCTGCCTTTGGCTCAGGTCACGGTCCCAGGGTCCCGGGACGGGGCCCCGCGTCAGGCTTTCTGCTCCGCAGGGAGCCTGCTCCTCCCTCTCCCACTCCCCCTGCTGTGTTCCCTCTCTCGCTGTGTCTCTCTGTCAGGTAAATGAATCTTTAAAAGAAAGAAGGAAGGAAGGAAGGAAGGAGAAGAGAAGAGAAGAAAAAAGAAAAGAAAAGAAAAGAAAAGAAAAGAAAAGAAAAGAAAAGAAAAGAAAAGAAAAGAAAAGAAAA